AGAAAAACTATAAAACTCAGAACCTCCCAAAGGAGAAATTAAGATCTGCTCATATAAACTTAAAGAGAACTCATGTACATTCCTTTAGTAGAGTACTTCTCATCTACATAAACATATTTATAGATCACTGGCTACTTGGGAGATAGCCTAGTAGATAAATCTAAACTAAGTGAATTAGAAATGTCAAACATATGACAGAATATTTTAGAAAAAGTCAAATTTATAACACAATTTTCCAGCAGAATATCTAAAGCACAGCAGAGAGACATCTATTTAAGTGTCAAAAGCATCTGCCCTATTAATCACTTGATTCATTAAATTTTTAGGTTTTACCTTTCTCCTCTCAGAAAAGAAAGTAAGCCTGGTTCCAGCTAACCCCACTGGCAACAGATGCTCACACAACACAAAACGTAAACCTTAGGGAGACCTAGGTACAAAATATAATTTAAGCGAAGTGGTAGACTGCTCAGGGAAAACAAGTGTATTTACAGAATGAAGAAGTCCCTACCGGACGCTTAACAAATCAGTAAAAATTATGAATTCACTAGTTAGGACAGTATGGGATGGCGTTGTATATAAACACACTGTTCTTTTTTAGAGAACTCTGGACTGTTCATTATAAAATGATGTAGAATGTGCAAAAGGGCTAAAAATTGCATCAAGAAAGGAAACTGAAGACATATATGTCAAATCAAAACACACATACACACAACACGGGACTTAAATCAGAAGGCATGGGTTCAAACCCCTGTGACTCAGAGTCCTTCTAGGGTTTAGTTAACTTTTTTATAAAATAAGAGAGGTAAGGTTCCTTCCAACCCCCCAATTAACATACTTGTAAGTAATCATTTATTAACTCACTGCTGTGTGTCAAGAACCATACTAATGGCTTTAATTGCAAGTGGACTCAGAACAAGTGTCCTGGGAAAAAATAACACCTATCAAGCATCATTCTTTTAAACACATAAAGAGCCACAAGATGGAGTTTAGCCTTTAAAAAAGAAATAAAATCTATTTTTCCAAACCAGACTCCATAAATTCTCTAACTAAACAATAACTGAAGTTTTTGTAAGGAATGAAGATAACACATACAGCTTTCCCTCTGATGTCAGGAATAAGACAAGGATGGCCTCGATCACTGATTCACAAACCAGAAATAAAAAGAGCAATAAAATTAACCACAGAGATAAGATATTTGCAAACCCGTAACTGGAAAAGGACTAGTTTCCTCTATATATGTGTGTAAGTGTGTGTGTAGAGTGTTACAAATCAATAAGGGAAAGGTAAGCCATCCAATTTAACAATAGGCAAGAGATCTGAGTCAGAACTCCAAAAGGGGGATTCCAAATGGGCAATAAACATATGACACGGGCACTGGGCCTCATTAGTAATGTAAGAAATGGACATGTAAAATACCATGAGATATCCTTATATACCCATCAGACTGCAAATAATAATACCTCTGACAATACCAAATGTTGTAAAGAATGGAGTGTGACCAGAATACATTTGGTATACACATTGGAAAACAGTTTGACGTTATGTAGTAAAGTTCAAGATACAGATACTTTGTGACCCAACAAGTCCACTCCTAAGTACATCCTAAAGAAATACATACTTAGGTGCACTGTACAAAAGTGTTCAAAGCAGCACTATTTATAACAGCTAAAGCCTGGATATAATCCAAGTGTTTATCAACGATGGGATGCATAAAGTAAGGAACATATAAATAATGGAATACTACACAACAATTAACTGAGTAAACTGTATCTATATAGAGCATGATTAACCCTTACAAAAACAATGTTGACTGAAAAAAGCAAAACACAAAAGAATATTTGTGGCATCATTTCATTTGCATGTTCAAAAAACAGAGAAAAACAGTATTTTCTAAGTAATATTTCTATTATTTAAAAACACATACAGAGAAGGTAAATCTATTTCTAAAATACAAGGAAATGATTATCTCTGGGAGAAGAGAAGTGATTTAACTGGGAAGAGCTGGGGAAGGCAGCTTCTGGGCAGCAGCCATGTTCTGTTTCCTGACTAGGTCCTGAATACATGGCTGGTCACTTCACATGTAAGTGTACATACACAAGTGTGCATGCAAGCTGTACACCAGCCCAGCTCCTGGCAGATACCAGACAGCCAATAAAGCCAACTCTTACTTACTTATGAGAATGATATTCTGACTACTATTGCTATGATTTTCACTGCTATTACTGCTAATTTCTCCTCTAGATTATACATGCCCCCTGAAAATATCAGCTCAGGGAGAACACAAAGAAAAACGCCTAATGAGAATGAAGTAAAGCTCGCTTGTGCTATTGTTCTTTCAGCTTCCCCACTGTTACGCTTGTAAATGTATCTTCCTCCTTATATAACCTACAATATCCTGACCACGAAATTCTGACAGGAACTAAAGCTTTTCCCTCTGGGTGATTATTCCTTCCGCAAGGTTCCCACCATTGGCAACAGGAGTCCTGACCTCTGCAGGGTGAGCAAAAATAACAGATGAAGTGCGAACTGGGTTTATTTAAAACCTAAGTACTGGACTTCCGTGGTGGCGCAGTGGATAAAGAATCCGCCTGCCAGTGCAGGGAACATGAGTTTGATCCCTGGTCTAGGAAGATCCCACATGCAGTGGAGCAACTGAGCCCATGTGCTGCAACTAAGGAGCCCACCTGCCACAACTAAGACCCGGTGCAACCAAATAAATTTATTTAAAAACAAAACAAAACAAAAAAAACACACAAAACCTAAGTACCAAAGGGAAATGGCAACGGAAAAGTGCTGTATTCCTCACTGTTCACATGCCCTGAACTGCTCTTCTCAAGCTCCCAATCCAGAGACTGTTCCCAGGTAACCCTGGCAGCCCCTCTCCACAGCAGGCAACAGAAAGCAAGTGTTTACATGCAAGACCATGAAACACACATGGTCACTACATCAAATGCTCACTATATTTGGATGGTAAATATTTTTTTAAGAGAAAAAATAAATATATGATGTTTTAAAAGTGGTTAAATTTTACATCTTGCCAAGTACAACAATAAGGCATTATATAAACTCTGATATTTCCAACTTTTGGAAATAAAAGATAAAACTACTAGTGATTTTTAAATTCCTTTGTAATCAAATAGGAAATTGTAAGAGATTTCACTTACAGCTTCTGACTGATGCATGCTGAAGAGAAAGTTTCCAGAGCAGAATTAAAGCTATTTAAGTAATCAGGCTATAATTACCAACTTAATCACTCCTTTTAAAAAGTTTTATAATACTTAACATCTATATTTAATTTGGTGAAAGGTAAGAATCTAATTCAGTAAACAATCGTTAAAACAATTAGTGATAGTCAAAAAAACTAACTTTAACTGAAAAGTGCTTCAAAAAATATCTCAAAGAATTCCACTTAAGTCTTCAGTATTTAACAAATTATTCAGAAATAAATTGCAGTTTATTAATTGTTCTGCATGACCTTGGGATCAAAACATTAACAGGAATTATGAGATGGAAAACATCAACAAATCAATGTACATGTATTTATCCTAAACATCTGATACACATAAGAAACTGTCAGAAATACAAAGAAACCTAAGACTTATTAGTCCCCATCTGATTGATAGTACCTAATCTCAGGAAACAGAACATGAACATGGATGCATGTGTGTTAGACAAAGAAATTTATCTAACAATACAATTAAACAATAATATGAGGCAGGAAGTAATAAAGTCAAATGTAGGACAATGTCACCAGAACTTTGAGGAAGGGAGAGAGCCTATGAGGTTGGGGTGTTAGAGGGGCTGGATGGACAAGGAGGAACGAGTAAGCCTAGATAAGAGGTGCGGAGAGCAAAGGACATCCTTGGCCAGGCAGCTCAGTGCCCAGAGGGATGGTGAGTGTGCTCAGGGGGCAAGACGCAAGTCTGCCCAGTATGAAGAACGGGGGGGCGACTGCTAGGAGGGGGGTGAAGGGGCAGATGGTGGATGTGTTTGGTTGCTACATAAAGGACTAAGGAGCCATGGGATACTTAGCACATCTTAAATGCAGAAGGCATGTTCTAATAAACATGATGGGAAAAGAACCAGTAAATACTGACTCGTACACTTTAAATGGATGCACTTTGTAGTATGTAACTGATGCCTCCATAAAGATGATTATTAACATTTCAACAATTAAAATCAAGGATGTTCCCTTTACTGACAATTCCCTTACTGTGCTTCCATTCTTGTACGAGGAAATGCATTCAAGCCAAGCCACCATGATTATTTAACCAAGCGCTTGACAGAAATCTAATGTTCTCTCTACCTCTAGTAGGCCTGATGACTTCTATCCTGCTTATCACTGCAAAATAATCTTCCAGTAGAACCCTTCTGAATTAAATGCTGCCCACAGCCTTTCCTTCAAAAAAGAATCAATCTGGACCTTAAGGTCCCCTACAATTTGAGCTCAATCTACCATTCTGGTCTTATTTTTCACTACTTTCTATACACAGACATAGATCTTTCTTCAAACTCCACTACTCATTTATTTTTCTAAAACATACTTTGTCTATTTCCAGTTTCCATGTCCTCAACGTTCTCTCCACAGGATACACTCCTGCCTCACACTTTAATCCTTCCTACCTACACTTCAAAACCCAGCTCAAGTGCTACCTTCAGCACGGAGTCTTTTCTGAAGGCCCCTGCAGGGATGTCTCCACATCCTCTCAACTTTCGCTGAACTCTGATCGTGCATGAAGCTAAAACCACCACTTCTTTACGTCAGGAATAATACTTGCCCTTGAGGAACTCACATGAATCTATACCCACACATATGTAGCCGATTACAAATCATACAGGACAAGCCAGACGGACATGCTTAGCACACAGTATTCATGCCACAAATACTTGTTGAAAGAATGATTATTTGCATATCATGAATATCCCAAAAGTCATTCATATATAACTATACAAATAAGGTCAAATCTTTGTAGATTAAAAAAAAGAAGAAGAAATTTTACCTTTTCAGTTGTAAGAGGTTTTGCAGGCTTTTCTGGCTCCTTTTCTCTCTTTTTCTCTTCCTTTTTTTTTTCTTTTTCTTTCTAAAACATAGCCGAAAGTTTTGATTAAGTTTACTTTTTAAAAAATGTTAGCTCTTAACACATTTTTATTTTATTAGTTTGAGTCACCATTTGAAAAGGGTACAAATAAATATTCAGTGATGACAATATCCAGTGATACTGACATGTAAAAGTAAGCACAGCAAATTCATACTCTCATTGAGTATGCTGATAACACAACAAAGAATAACTTTTCTAAAAAAGAAATACAGAAGTGAGACAATTTAGAACTTCTTTGATATTTTAGAGTTTGTTTTAAAGAAATGAGACCTCTATTCAATAAATTCTCACTGCATCTTTACATAAGGTCAGGCTTTCTAACAGCAACCATAAAGTTGAAATTTGAATACAAAAAAAAAGCAAACTAACTGATGGAACAGAATTCTTTATCACACAGATGAAGACCAATTACAACATGTAAACATGAGGAGAAAAGGGTAAAAACACTTTAATTTTTTTAAATAACACAAAACATTTTCAGTCTGTTACCACAGCGTTGTGATTTTTAAAAGTGCAAATACAATAATTTTCTCACGAAAAGAATGCTGGAGATAGTGGTTGGGGACTAGAGCCAGCTGACTAGTTGGCATATTTAATCCAACCCAGTCTAGATAAACTATAATGGTATTATAATGTTCACAATTTCCAAGAAGGTTGAAATAGAATATAATAATAAAAACTTAAGGTCCATAAAGATGCCAAAAAAAGGAAAATGAAGTAAAGATTAAACAAAGAGCATTCATAAGGCATGTAGAGGAAAAAGATGCCTAGAAACCTAGAACTGGGTGATACTGCAACTGAGTGCTGACCTAGTTTCCTGGCAGCAAACATGAAAGATAAACTGGTGAACCTAGAAAAGGCAGAATAATAAACACATGAAACTTAGTCAAAATGCCTAGAGGTTGCATTTGCACCTGTGCCTTTAAAAGGGTGTTTGACACCACCTCTCTCAAGAGTAGAAATTTTGCTATTTGTAAATCAAGAAAGCCAACACCGGCAATTCCTAGGCCATAATGTAAGATATAATTAAAGGTCCTATGGGCCAGGCACTGTGATAAGCACCTTATTGTCTAACTTAATTTTTACAGTGATGTCTGGGGAAAAGGTCATTATTGTCATTTTACAAATGGAGAAACAAAATCTCAAGAAAGTAACACACAGAGCTAATCGTAGTAGGGCCAAGGGGCTGCGGGGCCCAGACTGTCGAGCGTCGGTGCTCCCTGCCGCCCAGCGGAGGGCTGCCGTCTATGCAGTTTTTCTTCCCCATGGGGACAGCTAACGCTTACTGGGCCCTTCCCATGTGCCAGACACCATGTGACTCATTTAAATCCTCACAACAACCGTATGAGGTAAGCAGTATCACTGCCACTGTGTAAGTGAAGAATAAACAAGATGTGCAAAAATCCTTCATATATTGCAAAACGTTTTCCAGATATTAGTCAAGTTTAGGGAGGAAGGCAATGTGGGTGATCATTCTCACTACTATGCTGGGAATGAACGGTTCTGTAACTGCTCAGAGCTCTCAGTTATTTCTCAAGGAAGTCACCGTCATGAGATGGGGGAGAAGCCAGTCTTTCTAATCGCTATGATTGGTGGGCACATCTGAAATCACCAACAATAAATTAAATTAGTTAGCTATGTTTAACAGAGGGAGATGCTCTTTAACACTGGAATTTCAGCTGTCAAAATATGGCTGTAATCTACTGATGCCAGCAGCGGTTTTAGAACACAGGCTTTGAAGTAACGTTAAAAACATGGGCTCTAGGGCTTCCCTGGTGGCGCAGTGGTTGAGCGTCCGCCTGCTGATGCAAGGGACACGGGTTCGTGCCCCAGTCCAGGAATATCCCACACGCGGCTGGGCCCGTGAGCCATGGCCGCTGAGCCTGCGTGTCCGGAGCCTGTGCTCCGCAACAGGAGAGGCCACAGCAGTGAGAGGCCCGCGTACCGCAAAAAAGAAAGAAAAAAAAAAAAAGGGCTCTAAATGCAGATCATACAGTTTGACCGACAGATGACCCCCATCTTTAGAATCAAAAGCTGCTGAAAGATCAAAGAGTACTGTGAGAAGCTAAGTTGCTTTAAACTATTTTCTCATCAAGAATAAAACACAGTGGTGTTTGGTATTGTAAAACAGCAGTTCCTGAAACTTGGTTACTATATATCCAAATGATATATAGTGAAACAGGAGACCTCCTGCAAAAGAAAACTGAAATGAATGTTCACGTCCTACAAGACAGAGAGAAGTACATCTTGGGTTCATTATAATCAAATTACACTTGAGTGATTTAACTAAAGATACGGTCTCTAAAATTTTTTATGCACTCTTATCTTAAAAAGTTGGGAGCATATATACTCTACCACACGTACGTATGTATTTATAAAGCGCATAGAGCACTATATTATACACATTACAAAACATACATAAAAATAGAAATTTTAAAAGGGTAAGAAAAAGAAAGCACGAAGAGACATTCTAGTGGACTCTTCTGTGGGGCTCCCCAGTGTCTAAATGCTATCAGGCACGATGATTAGTGCTCGGCTGGATCAGACCCCTGCTTTCTAGGACCTGGTGGCAGGCACCACACAGCACAGACACGGAAACTGAGGGCTTCCACCCTCTGGACCAGGTGTCGCTGCCATCCTTCCACCTCCTCGCGGCCACCTCCGCCCTCCTGCAGTGCTTCTTCCCTGGGCCTGCCTGCTGACCTCTGAACCCTACAACACTCTGACCTCTAAAGCCTGTTCACCTCCAACCATGCCCTTCTTGCTCCAAACTGTCCCCCACTGTCCCGGGGACCTCCCCTTGCTCTGTTAACTCTTCAGTGCACCCAGCTTTCCACTCTCATGGCTCTCCCCAGGCTGCCGCCACCTCCCCCCTTCTCCTCTGGCCTATGGACCTGTGCATCCAAGCCCTGACCAGATACCCAGACGTCCCGCCGTCACCTCACATGCCAACACACCCAGCGTTTAGTCCCACCTTCCCTGCTCTCTCCTCATACCCGCTCAGCCCAGATCCCTTCTCACCGGGCAGCGCCGTCATCTACTGAGGTGCTCGGGCCTGAAGCCGGGAGCCATCCAGGCTCCCAAGGCGCCTCCCCAGCCCACTGATCACAAACCCCACAGGCTCGACCTTCTCAAGATCTCTGACAGCTGCGCTCGCCCTTTCACTCCCTCTGTCTGTAATTTAGCAACCCGCCCACCATTTATTCATGGACCAGCGCAGCAGGTCCTCAAGCCTTTCCGCACCCATCCGCACAAAGTTGGCTCTCCGGAGACAGTGAAGCAGAGTGCTACGACCTGAAAATCTGATCTGGATACTCCTTCTGCCCTGAAACTCATCAAAGTGCCAGGGTCTTCAGGACGAAGGCCAAACGCGCCAGCAGTTTCACAGGAAGCCTCCTCTCCGCTTCTCTCCCCAGCCCACGCGTGTCCCAGCCACGCCCTTCTCCCCGCAAATCCCCAGTCATCCCGCTCTGCCCACGGGCTTTTCTCCACAAGATGCTTTCTCTTCTTGCATTGTGCCCTAGTCCTCACAGCTAATGTTTATGAAGCGTGTAAGACGCATCAGAAGGACGCCTGCTGCGCTCAGAGCAGCACCGTGAGCGCACGGCAATCGCAGCACGCGTTCTGCCGCGCTAGAAACCTCTGTAAAGTTCTCCGTTTTCCTCTGTTAGATGGAAGCTGCTCCAGGGCAGGGAGACACACCTTGTTTACCTTTGTATCCCCCGTATCAAGCACACCATTTATCAAGGAGGAGACACAGAAACAGTGTGAATTGAAAGGACGTCTCAAACTAATTCACTAAGGTCAGGATGAGAACAAAAAGATCCACAGTCAAAAAAATTAAAAACCTTCAAATATTGGTAGGCATGACTTTACAAATCCATAATGGTAGTACTGTGCATCCTAACCACCCCTACCCCACACACACTCCAACAACCACTGATGATTCTACACTCCTACATTTTATCTATGTGATGGATACTATTGTTTAAAAAAAGAAACTTGACATTAACTTTCTTCAAGTGCTTATAATAACAGAATCATAGAAAGAAAACATTTTTAACCAAAAACCTTCCAAATAAATCAAAGAATTCAAGAGCAACTACAGAAAAGCTCCTTTAAGCGTAAGGTGGTAATGGAAACAACAAAAAACTAATTGCTCATTAAATGCTGAGATATATCTACGGTTAACAATAAATTAGTCATTCTGAAATTAAATGCAGATTAAAACCCTGTGATCCTACCTGTGGCACAGAAAAGTATTCTTGTTGTATTTAACATTTTTAATACTGGCGACCATTCAAGACATAAACAACTATTACAGCATCCCAAACGATGACACATTTACCACCGAGCGCTATGGAATGAGGCTATAGCTAAAACACTACCATACCTCCAATTTGTTCTTCTCAACAGCAGCTTGTAGAGAAGGAGAGGATACCAAAGGCTGAAGAGGAGCATCAGAGGAGGAAATCTGTGGAATGCAGATGGAAAGTCAAGAGAAAAAAACAAAAAGAAGACAATCAGAATTATAGGCACAGGAAAGAAACACACACTCGTGTATTTCAGAGATACAGAAGCACTCAGAAGTATGTTAAATGAAAATAATGCACCAAGAGAAAAGTCTTGGTTTCTAAATGCTTCCATGTGGAATTTCTATAAGTAAAAGTACTTACTACAGAAGAGTGTACGATTTAAAATGGATTTCACTATGACATAAATATAAAACGCACTCAGACAAGATCATCCCCCCGCAAAGTACGTGAAGAACAACTAAGCATCACCGGTGGTTCCCTTTCCATCAGCGCTACTGTTGAGGTGCTCAAGCTCTGAAGCGAAGACACACCATTCCAAGTGGCCAGAGAGCACAAGTGAGTTCTCGTTCTTACTGACCGTAACTGCTTCAAGAATGGAAAATAACACAGAGCTGAAACAGTAAAAGTCAACTCAAATTTTAATCAACTGTTTAAGAAAACAGAAAGAAGGATGGGAGAAAAAAGAGTGGATTAATGGAGCATAACAGCTGAGCAGCAGACAAGACTTATCGTGAAGCCACTCCTACACTTCCTTCTTTAAGCTCCATGCACACAGACACCATCTCCAGGGCTGCCCTGGCTGAATTACCCCAAAGCACTATGAGACAGTTACAGATGCAGCAAAGGCAATTTATACATGGAGACAATTTCATCTAAAAGCCTTTTCACACATCTTCCTACCCAATTCCTACATGCGTGGTTCATCACTTCAAAGTAAGCGTTATCTTCCTGCCCTCTTTACTGCCAGAATATAACTGAAATACGTTTACAAAATACGTAGTAGATCTTTGGAGCCATAAAACTGACATCTCTATATTGCCCTATCATACCAACAGTGCCTACGAGGAATCTTTAAAAATAAAAGGTGCGATTATAGAAAGGTCATTATGCAATGTCAAAATAACAGTGTGAGATGACAAGTCCTCATTCGAATCTGCTTGTTACTGAGTTAGTTACAGCTGCAATTCTTGACTCACAACCCAAGCCCATAATCTTTAGGGGCGTTTTCCCCTGGCACACTGTTAGCTCTGCTAAAAGTATGCAAACTAGCCATCCAGTAACTACTGACTGAAATTACACGTAGAAGAAAATATTAAAAAAGACAAACTGTGCCTTAAAGCGCAGCTTCAAAGCTGGTTTATCCCACTGGACATTTACTTGCTAGAGCTATGTAGAAAACAAGAGATTAGAAAAAGCACATAAAATCACTTAAGATAATAACCTGTATCATAAAGACCATTTTTGCCCAAATTCATGTAAAAGCTGAACATAAAAATGTAAGAGAGGAATAGGGACACTTAATATGTCGAGTGTTACTAAGTCAACATAATTCCCTGTAAAAGTGCTTGTTCTCCTTTCCAGAGGATGATAAACTGATTTGGCCACTTTTAAAATTCAGAAGGAGCAACATAAGACTATTCAATAAATATCAGTCATTTAACAAAGCATTCTAATGCAAAAATAAAAAAGCATTAATACTAAGTTCCAGCTACGAAAAAACAGAGATGCTTGTTCAGTAGGAAACACATCTGAAAAGTCAATGGACAAATCCACAGGTGAATGTGAACAGACTGGTGTATCCATAAATCAAACTACTATCAGCCAATAAAAAAGGGATGGTCTAATAGTACACATGAAATCAGGGGTGAATTTCAGAAACATGCTGAAAGAACCCAGACATCAAAGAGTAAACAGGGTATGATACCATTCATATGAAGCTCCAGCACAGACAAGTACAATCTACTGTGATAAAGAGCAGATCAGTGGCTACCTGGGCCAGGGGTGGGAGGCCAGGGGCACAAAGCAACCTTCTGGAGTGAAGGAAAGGGTCTACGTGCCAATCGACTGTGGTCGTGGTTACATAGAGTATTTATTTTCCAAAACTCATTGAACTATGACTTAAACTGTCTGCCATTTATTGTATGTAAATTCTACCTCAGTAACATTGATTTTTTAAAAAGTCTATGAGCGGGGTAAGCCCCATCATGCGAGCAAGGAATGAAGAACTAGAGTCTACACGTCTTGCTTCAGCTGGAAGCAAGAGACACGACAGAACAGAGAGATGGGGGAGAAGCAAAAGGCAGGTGGGAGAAGGAAAGAAAAAAACGCAGAGGCAAGAAAAACCAGGTGCTCGTGTGTTCCTTCCAAATCTCTACAAGTGCCACCCACCACCCCTGCACTGACCACCAGCAGGGACCCGCCGGCCTCCAGCGCCTGGATGAGCACTCCTCACAGGTCGCCTTGCCCAGGTCTTGCTCTTCTACAAACTGTGACAATAGCAGATGCAAAGGTGATCAGCACCTAGCCCTACTTAGGAGGCTTGAACAGTTCACACACATTATACAAGGCCAGAGTCTAAACCCCTTAACCAGACCACAGGTCCTCTGCCTGTCCCCGCCTTCCCTGACCTGCGACCAGGCATCTAGCCGCATGCGACTCTCTGGTGCCAGCGCTCCAGTCTCTGCCCCAGCCTCCAGGGGTCTCTGCTCCTGCTGCTTCCTCTGCTGGAAGCACCCAGGCTCCCAGCGGGTCCCACCCGTCCTGACGTGGCCTCCTCCAGGAAGTGTCCCTTCGACCTCCAGTCTCCTGCAACGCTTCCCTCTGGCAGACATGATCATGTGATGTCCAGTACAGAGGCGATTCCTTATCGGTATTCTTCGTTCATCTGAAGTTCTCTGAGACAGACGTTGTTTCTATTCTGTTCACCATCTCCAGCATGTGACATTCAACAGGTCTCAATAAATTTTTTTTAATTGACGAAAAGGAAACAGGAGGATGAGAGCATCTCAGAGGCACAACCAAAAGGAGGCTCCACATCAGCAGTTCTCACTGTCCTCTGAAAGTGCACTGGCTTGCTCACATACTTCTCTGAAATCTCATATAAGTTATCTATTGGGGTGGCCAAAAGATTCATTCAGTTTTTTCTGCAAGATGGCTCTAGTAGCACTTAGCTGTCTTTAACTTCATTCAAAACAATTTTGTTAGATTGTACTGTGACAGTTGTCACAGCAGTGTGCATTTAAAAAAACATCAAAATTGGTGAACTTTTGCGTAACCATTTGAATACTGAAGATGGAAGAAAAAAAGCATCCTTTTCGGCACATTATGCTTTATTATTTCAAGAAAGGTGAAAATGCAACTGAAACACAAAAAAAGATTTGTGCAGTGTACAGAGAAGGTGCTGTGACTGACTGAACATGTCAAAAAAGTGGTTTGTGAAATTCCATGCTGGAGATTTCTCACTGGACGATGCTCCACGGTCGGGTGGACCAGTTGAAGTTGACAGCAATCAAATCGAGACATTAATTGAGAACAACCAATATTACACCAAGCGGGAGACAGCCGACATACTCAAAATATCCAAATCAAGCGTTGAAAATCATCTGCACCAGCCTGGTTATGTTCATAGCTTTGATGCTTGGGTTCCACGTAAGTTAATGGAAGAAAACCTTCTTGACCATATTTCTGTGTGCCATTCCCTACTGAAACGTAATGAAAATGTTCCGTTTTTAAAACAAATTGTGATGGGCGATAAAAAGTGGATACTGTACAATAATGTGGAAGGGAAGAGAGCGTGGGGCAAGGGAAATGAACCACCAACAACCACATCAAAGGCCAGTCTTCATCCAAAGAAGGTGATGTTGTGTATATGGTGGGATTGGAAGGGAGTCCTCTAGTATGAGCTCCTTCCGGAAAATCAAAAGGTTAATTCCAACGGCTCCCAATGAGACCAACTGAAAGCAGCACTCGATGAAAAGCGTCCAGAATTAGTCAACAGAAAACGCATAATCTTCCACCAGGATAACACAAGACCACATCTATTTGATGACCAGGCAAAAACTGTTGGGCTTCCCTGGTGGCGCAGTGCTTGAGGGTCCGCCTGCCGATGCGGGAGGCGCGGGTTCGTGCCCCGTTTCGGG